ACAGGGGACATGGGGACAGGAGACACGGGCACAGGGGCACAGGGGACATGGGGACAGGGGACACGGGCACAGGGGACACGGGCACAGGGGACATGGGGACACGGGGACACGGTGTCTGTGCCACCCCGGGGGCACCTGGGGGGGTGTGGGGGTGTCTCTGGGTTTAGGGACCTTGTCCAGGGATGTGTGGGGTGGGGGTCTCTGGGCTGAGGGACCCTGTGCAGGGGTTTTGGGGAGGTACCTGGGCTGAGGGACCCTGTCCTCGGGCACGGGGGTCCAGGAGGCCCCCCCTGGGCTCAGCGAAGGGCCCCTCGAAGGATCTCTCCACATCAGCCAGGTAGAAGGCGCACACGGCCGAGCCGGGGATGCTGCGGGGACATCATGGGGGTGACACCGTGGCCAGAGCCCCTCCATGTCCCCGTGGGGTCCCCAGGCTCTGTTTCCCCATGTCCTGTCCCACTGTGTCCCCGTGTCCCCCTGTGAGTTCATCCCTGTGTCATCACCCAAGTCCACCTCCGTGTCACCGTGTCCCTTATCCCCAAGAGTTCACCCTCCTGTCCCCATGTCCCCATGTGGGTCCATCCCCATGTCCCCACACTCACATCCCCTGTATCCCCACGTCCCCACACTCACATCCCCTGTCCCCATGTCCCCAAAGTCACATCCCCTGTATCCCCATTGTCCCTCTTTCCCCACACTCACATCCCCTGTATCCCCATCTCCCCACACTCACATCCCCCTGTCCCCAAACTCACATCCCCTGTATCCCCCTGTATCCACATGCCCCTGTCCCCATGTCTCCACTCTCACATCTCCCCTGTCCCCATGTCCCCAAACTCACATCCCCCTGTCCCCATGTCCCCAAACTCACATTCCCTGTATCTCCCTGTATCCCCATGTCCCCCTTTCCCCACACTCACATCCCCTGTATCCCCCTGTCCCCACGTCCCTGTCCCCATGTCCCCACTCTCACATTCCCCGTCCCTATGTCCCCACACTCTCATCCTCCCATCCCCACGTCCCTGTGTCCCCCTGTCCCCACACTCCCATCCCCCCGTCCCCCTGTCCCCACCCTCCCCCCGTGCCCGCCGTGCCCTCCCTGCCTGTTGGGCTGGGTCCCGAAGAGGGCGAGGACGGCGGGGCGGCCGTGCAGGGTGCGGGGGGGGGTCACGGCCTCCAGAACGTCGAAGTAGAAGACGGTGTCCCCGGGCACGGAGCAGTGCAGCCGCAGCTTCAGGAACGACGTCCAGCGCCGCTCCAGCACCCGCGGGGACCCGCCCCGGTCATTGCGGCACACGCGGCCCACCCGCGCCACCAGCACCTGCGGGGGCACCCACTCAGTGCCAGGGACGCCCGGGGCAGTGACAGGGATGCCCGGTCAGTGCCAGGGACCCCTGGGTCAGTGCCTGGCTCAGTGTCAGGGACCCCCAGGTCAGTGCCTGGGTCAGTGCCAGGGACCTGCCATGGTCATTGCGGCACATGCGGCCCACCCGCGCCACCAGCACAGGGGTAGGGACAGGGACACCCACAGTCAGTGCCCAGGTCAGTGCCAGAGACCCTGGGGTCAGTGCCAGAGACCCTGGGGTCAGTGCCAGGGATCCCAGGGTCAGTGCCAGGGACCCCCATGGTCAGTGCCAAGAACCCTCACGGTCATTGCAGCACAGTGGCACCTCATCAAGGGGCAATGGAGCCCCCCATGCCCTGATGCCAGTGGGGCAGTGGGGACCCAGGGTGATGATGGTCACCCAGGGGGGGGTGATGCCCATTTAGGGGGATGATAATGGGCACTCAGGGGGGTGATGATGGCCACTCTAGGGGGTGATGATGGGCACTCAGGGTGATGATGGCCACTCAGGGTCCCCCCCCCGTGCCCTCCCTCCCCGTGCCCACCTTGCCCAGGGCGCTGAGCTCCACCGCCACCTCCCTGAAGAAGAAGTAGACGTAGGGGCCGTAGGGCAGCACCTGCACGAAGTGGGGCTCTGGGGGGGCACAGGGGGGTGGGCACAAGGACCATCAGCTCCTGTCACCTCCTGTGCCCATTCCACACCCCTGTGCTCACCCCGTCCCCTGCTCCCTGCCCCCCTCTATGGCCCCAGAGCCCTGTGCCCCCAGATCCCGGCCCTGTGCCCGTAAATCCCAGTCCTGTGCCCCCAGACCCCGGCCCTGTGCCCCCAGACCCCAGCCCTGTGCCCATAAATCCCAGCCCTGTGCCCCCAGACCCCAGCCCTGTGCCCCCAGATCACAGCCCTGTGCCCCCACATCCCATCCCGACCCCCATTCCCCCCCCCGGTTTTGGGGTACCCTGGAGCCATCGGGAGCTGTATTTGAGGGTGCGCAGGGGGGCCCTGCCGGGGCTCAGGCTGCGGTAGATCACGGCATCACTCGCCTGGAAATCGGCCACCGTGGCCGAGTACAGGCTGCCATCTGCGGGGGGGGGACACTCCAGGTCACCCCTGACCCCCCCTGTGTCCCCCAAACACCCACAGACACCCTTTGTCCCCCCCCAGCACCCACCAACCACAGCATCGCTCACCTGAAATCGGCCACCGTGGCCGAGTACAGGCTGCCATCTGTGTGTGGGGGGACACTCCAGGTCACCCCTGGCCCCCCCTGTGTCCCCCAAACACCCACAGACCCCCCAAACACCCACAGACCCCCCAAACACCCACAGACCCCCCTTTGTCCCCCCCCCCAGCACCCACCGACCACGGCGTCACTCGCCTGGAAATCGGCCACCGTGGCCGAGTACAGGCTGCCATCGGCGGGGGGGGACACTCCAGGTCA